ATATATATATATATATTCATTTAAAGGCTGAATAATTTTTACTTCATTTAAATTTCATATCGTTGATAAATATTTATGACTATTCAAATAATTAAATCGTCTGAAATGTAAGACAATCGTAAATTAACGTTATATTAAAGAACAAAATTTTAGATTTTATAAGTTAATCTATAAATTTTCATAATCAACGTTCCATCTTTCAAGTCGAATGGAAAAGTTTATTTATAAAAATTGAGTTATAATATGAAACGCTATATTAACATTTTGTTGTACGAGATGCTTGGTATACGACAATAATACTATACAGTCATCATCTTAAAATTATATTTTTCTGGTTGCTCTTATACTTCGACTAATTAGAGGGTATGTGTTTGTTCTCCTTTTTTTATTGGCAGCACCTCTGACTAATGTCGATTTAATGTAATTGAGATGTTGCAACATCTTTTATATCATCTGGGTATTTCACAGAAACGGGCACTATTTGATTCCGATAACTGTTTAATATTTTGTTTCCCTTTTATTATATATTACATTAAAAATTTGTTATCATTAAACGTTTTTCCGATACTTTTATTAACATGAGTATTCAGACTTGGATGAATACTTTGCTATTATTTATTTAAAAATATTACATATACACATATTTAAATTGACTAATAAAACTCTACATTTGTTTTTATTTTATTCAGAAATAAAATATTTACTACATAAAATAACTGTCACTGAAATTTACTGATCAGAAAAATAAATGAGTGTTATACTGATATAAATCCATTATGATTATGAACAACTTTATGAACCCTTAAATAATCTGATTTTCCTTTTTTTTTATTGATACTTATAGATCTTACATGTTAAACACTTCTTTAAAAACATTATTTGAAAACATCATCTTTTATTTATTGTAGAATTTTGCCCGCCTCTGTTAAACGTTGCAAATTCTTGCATACCTTGATTAAGATAACTCTTTAATATGTATAAATTTCAAATTTATAGAAAAATTAGTAATGATATGAGTTTAGCATATACAGAATCATGATCATCGTATAAAAATGCACATACAGAAGTAACCACAACCAGAACAATCTTAGATACCCACAAATTTTTTTATAGTCTCTCATTATTATCTTGCAAATATTGTTTTAATTATGTCTACTATTTTTGCCAGGGTGACCATTGTCAGTGGTTTCTTTGCAAAGGCATTATTTCTTAATTTTACATTTATTTGATTCAAAATAGTTTACTGTACAAAAAATAGCTTAAGAAAAATTAGACTATAAAAAAATTGTACATAAAACCTTAAATAACATTTTTTACGTTTTTTAAACATTAACATTCAAATAATTAGGACCATCAGAATACAATATCATACCGTTTTATAGAAATAAATTTCCCATGTACAATTTTTATAAAGTTAACAGCAACTATTTTTTTATAATAATTAGTATATCATAACGTCGTAATTGCAATATACATTTCATTATGTTGCATAATATGCTGCAGATTAAAATATGATATACAGATAAAACCCGGTTATGAATTCTATTACAAATATTTCAACTTTTACTTTTTTGTATATTATAGCTATATCTGCACTTCAACAATCTGTAATTTTATTCTTATGAATCTTATGGAATACAAATTTTACAATAAACATATTACATTGTGTCTCATCTTCGAGCATTTTAATAAATCTTGGTCACCCTGCAAAAAGTGTGTTGTACGAGCGATGTATTCTTCTTTTTATATATTAAAAAGTTATATATTTTTTGTCACTTTTCAGTTCTATATTTCAAGAGAATGGAATATTCGTATCTCAGAAAATATTTTCTCGTTCGTACAACAGATTCAGTAAAATATTTATTATCGCATTATACATGCTTCATTATAGCACGAATATATTTTTCCTTCCTCTATGTTAAGTGTTTCTAAATTTGTTTCTTTGCACTGTAAGAGAACAACGTCTATACACGACAAGCTTAGTAATAAATATTTCTCCCCTTCATAATATTTCAAATTGCTTATTTACTGCACTTTAGGCTATATGCAAATATTATTGTACCGGAAGACGGTGTTGTAATATTGCAAAAATATTAAAATACTTTAACGGGCATATTTCCACATAATCCTGCATACCTAAAGGGCGGAAATCATGAACAAACTTTAAGTTTCACATAATGTAGTAGAATTTAGTTACCATACTAACTTCAACTTAAAGTATTAACGTAGATTTCAGTGAATAATTTTAATTGCAAATTAAAAACGTGTGTCATCAATACATTACAGTAAATGTGAAAAATAAATCCTGTTAATACATTTTTCTTTTCTCACTTTCACTTAACTTTAGAATGAAGCTATACGTTTTTAACTTGCTATTAACATTATTAATTACACATTAACAGATTAAATTCAAATATTTTTATAAATACAAATGTTTTAAAATATAATCATTAATTGCTACAAATATTACATTTCTTCCCGTTTTTTTTTCTCTATTAACAATCAGGCAATTTGTAGATGTTGAAACTTTAACAAGATTAACAAAATGGTATAAATAACATCAATGTTTCAACCTCCGTCACATCAGAAATGCAGAATTATCCACAGAAATTAGAAACATTAACAGATCACATTCGTTTCTCG